GCAATTTATTTCGAAAAGAAACACAATATTTTGTTAGTTGCAAATAATCAAGGATCGGCCTTTGTTTACGATGTCTCCTAATCGTTATAAACAAAACGAAAATGTTCCCCTCATCCTTCTGTACTAGTTAGATGTCATTATTGCTAAAAGTACCAGTTGAATTACTATCATATTTAGAATGGTAAAAACGACTATTCAAGAATGCATATTGTGATAAATTCCGATGTGCTTTAATTTGTCTGCGACGAAAATTTCAAAGTACGAGATATGGGTGTGCTAACCCTGCTATTGCTTATGGGGTTACTCTTTCGTGTGGTATTTCTGTTAATCAATTGTTTGTGACTGTTCAATGACTCAAAATAAATGTAACATTATTTTTTTGTAAATAGGACAATTTTCCCTGAAGAATTAGTAAAAAAGTCATCATGCAAACCAGACTTAAAATTTTGTACACCAAACTCGCGTTTCGTCTACAAAAGACTCATCAGTGACGCTCGAATCAAAAAAGTAAAAAAAAAGGACAAATAAAGTACGAAATTAAAGAACATCGATAACCCTATATTCAGAAAGATTTTGCCAAATACAGCTAAGGTAATCTATTCCTTGGGTAGAAAATCCTTAGTATTAACAAGATGGGCTATATTTGTTCCAGAAAATCGTGTGTAAGGTGTGTATGTATGTCCCGGGCTTTGGAATGGTTCAATTGGCAAATAAATGATGAATCAAATGATACATGGTGTATCTGCTTGACAATGGATCTGTTACGACCTCCAGACAGAAACTTAGAATAAGAGTCGGCAAAGTACCATATATTTCCTATGTAAACAGATGACCTCTCACATCCCAACAGGTTCGGATAGTTCTAGAAAAAGCCGTTAGACATTAGAGAACTCTCAGGACTGATAATACTGCAGGAAATTTTTTACATGTTGGCGCATTTCGTTTAAATTTGATGCGATACCTATTGTTGTCAATCCAATGCCTGTGTTTGTTCATACCTGGATATTTTAACAGTGAACTATTTTTTTTAAATTTTAAATAATTCATATTACAGCATTTGTGTATTTTATATAATTACACTGATTCTAGTGCAATAAGGCTTAATTCAATTCAAAAGTATAAAACTATCATTCCAATTGATAGAAGTTTGTTGTAAATGGACGTCATTTCTCTTTCAGTAAAACTATCTAACAAATATCTTGATGGTCCAGTGACTGTCTAAATGTTTTTTTTCTTATTAAACAAGAAATTAGTTTCTCTATGTGGTGACCGTAGAAAGTTTTCCAATGCTTGAAGTGTATGCTCTCAATGTCTATATCTCTATATCTTTATAGGTACTGGTATTGAGATAAATTCTGACCACTCTCTGACTAAACAGTTCACTGAAACTGACATCAAAATGCTTGAATTTTTTTATTTTTTTTTACAACATAGTTGCAACATTTGGAGAAGGCTTTTTCAACAGACAATCGAAATTCATGTAGAAACCAACTGTGCCCCTCAGCTTGCCGATTTGTTCCTTTATTCCTGAGGCAACTTTAAATATAGGAGTTCCTCAAGGAAAAAAAAAGAACCTGGTTTTGTCCTTTAGCTTCACAGTCCGCTATGAAGACGATGTCCTTTCACTGAGTTTAATGACTATGTTCACTGCACTTGAAATAAAGGATACCACAAATCCAGTTGTCTGCCTCATATATTTACTAACATCTAGAAATTGACATTCATGGTCAGTTAAAAACTAAAATTTACAACAAATAAGATGATTTCAATTTAATCATTGTGAACTTTCCATTTGTGTCTTGCAAAATTCCAGCATCTCCTCCATATGCAGTACTTATATCCCTTAGTTGATACAATATTCGAGGGCTTCAGATTCCCTGAAGCTACTGAACCAAGGGTTTTTTATGGTAAATCTTTATTTTTGAAAGTTTTATAGTTGTCATCGTCATTTGGTGGAGCATTATGGAATATCTTTGTCAATAATAAGTTTTCTTTTAGATTGCTTCATGTTGATTTCTATTTAGTTTTTTGTTTTGTAATTTGTGACATTTCATTATTGAATGATGTCACTATCAAGAATAGTCTTTCCTATCCACTGTCCTGGTATTGTGAAAGAAATGATACTTTTCCAGATTCACTTGAAGGTTACCTGTCGATTTAAACTTTTGTAAGTTCTTTTGTCCCATCTAATAGATACAATAGCTATTGTTTAGCCTCCTCATGGGGTTTTTGATTATGTGATTCTTGCCTGTTTCTATAGTGATTATTTGATTACCAGACAAATATTTCATGATTATTTGATTATTTGATAATCTAGGACTGTATTTTGATTATTTGATTATCTTGTTTAAAAATATAATTAATGATTATGTGATTATACATGTATAACCCTGTCGCATTTTTCGCAATAATAAAAACATCACAATAATTTCTGAATTTACAGTACATGTACTTAAATCAGCCTGTCAGTTGGTACAAGGAAAATAGGAGTCCTGGCCTTCCAAAACGGTCATATATTCCGGACTTGACCGAAACTTTCATAAAAAGACCGGCTGCTCTCAGCCTCAAACGGTCAAATAGAATTGGTGTGCCACATTTTGTTATTCAAGGCATTTTCATGAAACGGTCATTTCAATTTTTACCAACTATCGATCGATAAAAATGTCCGTTTGGGGCTTTGGGCATGTCCGTTTGGGCATTTTAGTTTATAATTGTGGCAATCTATTTCACAAAGATATTTCGGTCATAATTGGGTTTAATAAAACAGAAGCAGCATATTTCAGATACTTTGAAGTGTCTCAGTTAGTCTAATCGTCTGGGTACATAAATGTACGGCTTGGTCTTTAGCTTGTGTACATCAATAAAAAGTAGAAAAACACGTTTTCTTTTATTTAAATAACAACAAGCTGTCAAACAATTATCCCTTCAATAAGTTATATTGAAGCCATAAATCATTCACTGATTACAGGTTTGTTACCTTTGATGAGGTGTCCTTAGCTTGTCTTTATCAATAGAATTAATGATGCATAACAATGTACATAAAGGTAATCAGGTAAACGAGGTCAAACATGTAAGCGTGTATGGAACAACATCCTATTTAATTACGCTTTATAGATATTATTTTAAATGAGCATTCAGTTTAAAAAAGTATCCTGATATTTAAAAGTTATTCTTCAAATAAGGATATTTATAAATGAATAAGTATGATATATATTATTTTATTTAACACTGTACATCGTGTTAAATACTGGGGTACTCTCAAGGGGAAAATTTACTAAAATATATAGGAAAAACACCGAGAATAGCTTCGCTGAGTTGTCCAATAAATAAGGGGGGCGTTCTCTATTCTTGTTTTCATATTAAAAACTGTTTTTATAATTAAAATCATAAAGAATAATATCCAATCATGACAATCTCCGACTGTTATAAAGACTTTGTCTCAAATTGAACTTAACAAATCTGCCATCATGGACAAACGTAAACGTGACGATTCCGATCAAAATTCGAAATCTGCTAAAAATGCTAGAAGCTTTATTCATTAATGGTTACAACTGTTTTTATGGTTAAGATTTGACAGTATGCTAAATGCCATGTTTTGTGACATTTGTCAAAAACATAAACTTAAAAATAACTTTGTAAAGCCTGGTTCGACAAATTTTCGAAAGTCAGCCGTTGTAGAGCATGCTAATAGCAGATGACCACATTCAAGCTCTTAAATTAGAGACAGCTTCCAAAAGTAATCCAATTGTATCAGTATTTGAGGAAGTTCATGAAAAGACTGACAACGCAATGTGCACCTTGTTCCGTAATGCTTACTTTATTGCTAAAGAAAACTTGCCAAAGGACAAATTTCAGTCAATAAATGATTTAACTAAGTTAAATGGTGCCGTGATCACTTCTAAATTATATCAAGAGAACAATGCCTGCTCCGAATTTATTCAGATAATTTCCGATGTTATAGAGAAAGAGGTGATGTCCGACGTAAAGTTAGGTCCCGCCGTGGGAATTATGATCGACGAGTCAACTGATCTGGCTACGCAAAAACATTTAATTTTGTACTTATCATACCTCAAAGCTGGTGAACTGAAAATTAGTTTTACAAAACTTTTGAACTTGTCTTCTGGTACCGCCGTGTCAATTACTGCACATATAATTGCCTATTTAAAGTCATTTGGTGTAGACTTGTCTAAAATATTCGGCATTATTTATCAACTGAGTATGTTTTTATTTATTCCTTATTTTCTAAATCAGGTTGGGAAATTGTACAAAGAAAAATGTTATCACTGTTCAGTAGATTTTACACGGTTTAAAACAATATCCTTCATTGGGCCTCCTCAATGTTATCTATAAATACCGCATCAGTTGTAAAAGTCACGTGGTCAGGTAATCAATACACAAAAAGAAAAGTATCACGTGTATTGATGATCAAGTTGTACTGCAATTAAAGCCATAAATCAACAGTTTCAAATAAGATGGCCTTAATTAATTTACAAAGTGTTAAGTACTCACAGAGAGAAGATAGATTATATAAACAGAAACAAAAACATGAGAACAGTCAGGTACTGAAGCTGATTGATGCAATGATGGTTACTGTATTACGATACACAGAAAAATGACACAATACCGAGGATAATATTTTATTTATTTTTAGAATGAAGAAAACAAAACAGTTATAAATAATTTTATTGCATATAACACTACTAATTATTTAGACACATATATCAATTTATGCATCCTCTCAGTTACATTTAAGTATCCAGCTGATCATTGACCGTCAAAAATATTTCTTTGAAAAATGTCCGGCTGTCGTCAGGAAATTTTGGAAGCCCTGAATAGGACCCATGAAATTTTTAAAGTGTTTATTTCATTTGTTAGTTTTTAAATTGTTTCATTACTTGCCTTTCAGATGCCTTATATAGCTTACAGTACAGTATGGGTTTTGCTCATCATTGAAGACCGCACCATAACATGAAGGAACTGATAATAGTAGCACATCAAAATTACTCTAAAATGCTTTTATTTTCCTTTTAAATACATGTCTAACAATGATCATGAATTTTTCATTGCATGTTTAGTTTAGGATCTTTGGATTTTCAGTGATTGCAACTAGTTTACAGTTTTATAACCATACATGTACATAATTTGCATTTCAACTGTTTTAAATCCTCTTAATCATTCTATTCAAACTATACTTCAACTGATTCTTATAAAGATGGAAACAATATTAAAATTCTCAATTTCCATTCATCACATGTTCATACATTTTTCTTTTTTGCAATAAATTTTCATCTATTATATTAACATTCTACCTTGATTGCACTTTAACATTTACTTTACAACATTTCTAGCCATAATTATTTTTTTGTCCTTTCAAAATTATTGTCCCCTTGACTCTTCTTTGCGTTTCAACCGATGATGAGGAAATGATGGCATAAACTCTGGTTCACACGGGTAAGGCTGTTCTTTGAAATATGAGCTATCTAAAGCATCCTCAGCAGAAGCTCGTTTTTCTGGATCGTACATAAACAAATAATTCAGAAGTCTGATTCCTGCATCTGTCAACCATGGGAAAGTATGACGGACGTTGTTGTATGGTTGTTTCTTCAAAGTAATATCTTTCATTCCCGGTAAGTCATTGAATCCTGGCCAGATTGCCTCACTTGGGGTACCAAACAGTTCTATGGTCATTTCTAATTGATGAATTTCAGAACGACCTGGTAAGAGAGGCTTATGAGCCAACAACTCACCAAATATACAGCCTGCAGACCACATATCTAAGGCTGTTGTCTGTGTCTTAGATCCCAATAATAGTTCTGGTGCCCTGTACCAAAGAGTTACTACTCTTGGTGTCATTGGTTGTTCAGGGAAAGCATACTTCCTGGCCAATCCAAAGTCAGCTATTTTAACACAGCCTTTGTCTGTCATAAGTAAGTTTGATACTTTTAGATCTCGGTGAAGGATAAAATTTTCATGCAGATATCTCAATGCTTTTAATAGCTGTATCATAATACATTTTACCTGAGCTTCTGTGAATGGGGCAGACATATTGTCCAATAAAGAAGCAAGGTCCTGTTCACAGTATTCCATCACTAGGAAAATGCTTTCAAGACTCCTTCCTACAACAACTTCAGACATTTCCACAATATTCGTATGTCGAAGATTAAGCAAAATGTTAATTTCCCGAAGACCACTGATTGGAATCCCGTTTTTTTCTTTCTCCATTCTCATTTTTTTCAAAGCAACGATATAATTAGATCGTCTGTCTCTGGCTCTATAGACTATTCCATATGTTCCCTCTCCCACTCGGCTCAGTTTTTCAAAGTCACTTACACTACGACATTTTCCATGTCTTGAATCTACAGGAAGGTCCATCCATTCTCCTGATAAAATTGACATGAATCTAGGCGTGTCTTCTGAAGACGCCTGTGAACTGAAACTTGATGCCATTTTCTCTAATTTATGCTTTTCTCTGAAAAATAAATATCAGGTATGCTAATGACATTCCAGTGGCATTACCCTCTCATTTAACCTGACAAAAAAACTTGATTATAGAGCGGCAAATCACATACAAGTACCTCTGGTCTCACACTGACCATTCATCTTTCATTGGAGCATGGGTTTTTTTTCTCAGAAATAACTTATTTTCTTTTAATCAATGCGGATTTTATTATTTTAACTTTTATATTGAAAATTAGTCTTTTTCAACTGGTTTTTAAAGTTTGTTCTCGTGTTGTTCTACTGTTACATCACTGTCCCAGGTAATGGCAAGGTTGGGTGCCTGCAAACATGATTACAATGTAACCCTGCAGCATTCTGAATGTGCCTGTCACAAGTTGGGAGGATATTACATGTACATGTATTTTATGTATTTATATTAGTGGTTGCTGTACATGTATATTATATTTGCTTTTCATTTTTTGTGTTGTACACAAAATGTACATCAATCAGGCTGTTAGTTTTCTAGCTTCAATTTTTTTACAAGTGTCATTGTTGTAGGCTGTTTAGTCATGATACAAATGTAGTTGCTAATTAACTTTTACGACATTTGGTCTCTGGTGGAAAGTTCTCATTGGCAATCATACCACGTCTTATTTTTATGTTATCCAAGACAATGAATAATAAGATGTAGTTATCAGACATTATTTTTCCTAGATCATAAGATGCATCTGCAAACCCCTTAATCTGTTCATGGGATTCAGATCAAGTATATTATACTACATGTATCTCAGAATTAGATTATGATAAAAGTTTTAACTTAAACAGTCAACAATCATATTTAATATATACATGCAGGGCTCACGGTACCAGGCGACTAGGGCAAAGAAGTCACTTTCCCGTCAGTCACTTCGCTTTGCCCGACCCTCAAAAGCGAAAACAAGTCACCCTGTGGTTTACGATACTCGCTTTCAGTCGCTTTCGTCATCGGCTATATTCAATTTTTACCAAGACGATGAAACCACAAATTTTCATTTAAAAGTAAACAAATTCAAGGCATTAACGATTCATTTTCTTCAGAAAAGAGGTTAAAGCATTGATTTTAAAGTTGGTGGCATTTTATTTCATAAAAACAATTTTTTTTATCACTTCCGGTACTTGTTACTCAGAGCGTACATTAAATCATTCTATCTTTCGGCAAAATAAGTTGTTACTTCATTAGAACTTGATGAAATTTGTCTGAAGTAAATTTGTTATCCTTGTATTGCATTAAAAAGTCCTATTCCTTTCCAAATAGCATGTCAAACATCGTTTATTTTTTATAAATTTTTCTTCGTCCGCCATTTGTATTATTGGGCATATTATTGTACAACTACAGATCGGAGTTCGGATTTCATCAGAAACGGAACTGCATGACCGAAATCCTGATTTTTACGATAATGACTATGGATGCATGAATGGCACTGCTGACAGACAAAATTTTATCCCAGAAGGAAAAATTACGCATTCCACACACTTTTGGTTAGATTTTCTTGATTAATGTATATATTTCCATGTATATGCATTGTTTCAATTTGTAAGTTAAAGTTGCTCAACTCTGCAGGGACTATTACACTAATATAATTATATTATGTCCAAGCTTAACTGTTAAATCTATATATCTTTTTAATGAGAAATACTCAGTTTCATGAACATGATAACAGAGTAGTTTTTTAATTGATATAACAACTTTCTTTTCCTTTTTGATGTAAAAAAAAATCTTTATTATTAGTGCCAGATATTTAATTGTTTTTTTCTGAAAAGAGGACTCATATGATTGTGCAACTAGATCATGTAGATATGATAAAATTAAACAACTTAAATTTGAAAAGTTACTTTAATTGCATACCCAGGTACAAATTGAACATGTTGAACAATATAAAAAAATTAAGACACATATGGCCCTTAATGTATTATAGTAAAAACCAAACATTGTCGCGCTGCGAGCAAACAAGCACTTCTCTTTCAAATCTCACCACTTCTCCCTCTCAATTTCAAAAAGAGAAGTCACTTCTCCTTATGATTCTGAAGTAGTGTGAGCCCTGTACATGATACATGTGTATATGTACATTGAAGGTCAAGAAATCATAAATATTTCTAAAAAGCTGTTCAACTCTATTTATTTCATGTGTTTATTAATGTACTTTTTTCCATTTCTAATTCACCATTCTGTTTTTATTGCGATTGGTTGATTATAGTAATAAGACCTGTACATCTGTCGTATATATGTTAATTTATCCACCAAAAGACTAGTTAGAGATTGTATATAAATTTACCTGAATTAAAAACAATTTTCCTTTCAACTTATCTGTTTGCCATTTTCTTTATACATCATGTACATTGTCTTATCTTCTTGGGAAATCTCTGTAATACACCAAAATTGGTTTGAAACAAAATTTTATTTGCAACTACTCTTAAATCTATATTTTTCTAATTCTAAGCCAATGTGTATATTTCCTGTTGTAGAAAAATTGTTACTGTTAATGTTATTTTCCTGACTGGCATATAACTGGCTTATTGTTTTGTCAACAATGCATCGGTTTGAGGTGTGATAGACTCATAGTTCGTAAAAATTTAACTAAAAATAGGTTTAATAGAGCATAAGATCATTTGCCTGGCAAATATGAATATCACAAAGAATAAACAGCTGCGCCATGAGCACATGATACGCCCGTCGTCTTGTGTGTGAATTTTTATGCAATAAGCATAATTAGTTTCTGACATACGGCGTGACATGCGAAAACCCCCATTTTTTTTTACAAAAAACTCAATATCTCTAAAATAAAATTTTGAATCAAAACCAAAAAGTATGCAGATCTTTAGATTAATATAACTAAGAAGTGTGTAAAATTTTAAGCAATAATCATAAATCGTTTTTGAGATACGGCACGACATGTGAAAACCCCCCCTTTTAAAAAAAAAAAATCAATATCTCAAAAATAAAACTTTGAATCAAAACCAAAAAGTATACAGATCTTTAGATTAATATAACTAAGAAGTGTGTAAAATTTTAAGCAATAATCATAATTCATTTTTGAGATACGGCGCGACATGTGAAAAACCCCTCCCCCTTTTTTTACAAAATACTCAATAACTCAAAAATAAAATTTTGAATCATCACGAAAAAGTATACAGATCTTAAGGTTAATATAACTAAGACGTGTGTAAAGTTATAAGCAATAATCATAAACTGTTTTTGAGATATGGCACAACATGTGAAAAACACCTCCCCCTTTTTTAACAAAATACTCAATATCTCTAAAATAAAATTTTGAATCATCACCAAAAAGTATACAGATCTTAAGATTAATATAACTAAGAAGTGTGTAAAGTTTTAAGCAATAATCATAAATTGTTTTTAAGATACGGCGCGACATGTGAAAAAAAACACACACCTGTTTTAGTTACTAAGTCCTGTAACTCAAAAAGTTTTAATCTTATTTTCACCAAAAAGTATACAGATCGTTTGACCATCATAAGAAACAACTATGTTAAGTATCATGAAATTTGGATAAGTCATTCTCAAGTTACGGTGCGACATGTTTACTCCAAACAGACAGACGGACGGACGCCGGACATTTGTATACCATAATACGTCGTGTCAAAAATTTGAAGGGCGTATAAAAATTGAAAAATTTGTCAGGCAATTGGCTATAACTTGGGTTGCAGAAAAAAAAAAACTGCCTTACATTATACATGTTAGGTGGTCAGGCACATTTTCAGGACCTCTGCCAAATAAAAAACAATAGCTTCAGATTCAGAATCACAAAAGGGATTGTATACTATAAATAGTCCATGCAAAGAGACTCATCAAAATCATATGAGCTCTCCAACCAAATGCAATAAGTTTGATATATGCTGTTTTTAATAAAAGTATTGTTTACTGTAAATTCAGAAATCTTTGTGTGCATTTATTATTGTGATTTTTGAAAAATGGACAATATAAAATTTTTGCGATTTTAGGAAAATCTGTATACAGATATATGCATCAGATATCAGAAAGAGAGTTCTTATTATTCTTTTTATTTCGATATTCACCAAGTCGCATTATTCATATTAATAAAGACTTCACAATTATTTCTGAATTTAGGAAATTCAAATTATAATTATTTTGACACAAAATCAGAGAAAAGAGACACATCATGCACATCAGAGTGTTTTAATGCTTGTTTTAAAAAATCTCCATTCTTTATCAGGTCATTGGTGAGTTTTCCTTAAAATTCAGTTTTTCATTTATTTTCTATTAAACAAACTTATAAATTGGTGTGTTGAATCAGCATTAAACCTTGACCACTCAAGGGACAAATAATGGACTGTGGTCAGGTGGTGTGTCCCTTCATAAACAATGATAAAGTAAATTTTCAAAAACAAACTAAGGAATGTACTTGAACATTTTGAATACTCATTATAACATATACTTGTAGTTTAGTTCTTGGAATTCAAATGAATAATGGTATAACATCATAATGACAGAACTGAGTAAAAAATACAGTATATGGACATTTTCTGAAATTCTTTGCACAACATTAAAGAAAAATGCAGTGTACGACACAACGTTCATTCTACAAACTTTGTGGTCAAAGGGTTAAGATTCATTTATGTAAACATACAGAAAGTATTAAAAATATTTGTTCTTTTTCACAGGTAATATATTTCTTTTTACCTGCTCTTATCATGCTTATATTTATACTTGTCATTTGAAATCAGATATAGTGATACAAAGTTGCGGAAAATTGTATGCTCCTTTATAATGTAATCAGATAGAAAATCAGGATAAATCGTATTGCTCTTTGTTTTCAGAAAAATCTGAAGAACATTGAAAAACTGAATGGGTTTTGCTTAAAATAAGAGTCAGAAAACTTAGGCCAAAAAAATATGTGTTTCATACCTCCAGCCATTAATTTCAGGAAGTTATTTTATTTTTCTCATTTCATTTGATTTTTTGCATATTAATATCAAAATTTGGAAATATTTCATGTTTTCTCTGAGTTTAATACCGTTATACACTTATATGCATCTGGTAATTTGCACATGCGTGTTGATATGTTTATAATTTTCAATTGTTTGACAAGTTCAACACTCGATATGTGACTATTTTGTAACACAGTCAGGGGACTTATTGAAATAAGTGATTTTTAAACACATAGGTTTAAATAATATCTTTTCATTAGTAAAATTGAAAAAAATGAACTTTTTGCTTCTTTTAAGCAGCAAGGTTTATACCTTTGATGTAATCATTTAGCTGCAAATTCTATTTTAGTTGAAAAAATGCTATAAAATTACATCATTACATAATGAACTGATACTTTCTTAACAGATTTTTCCCAGCAGTGGGAGTATTTTTCCTGTAAAATTCAAGGTTTCATCTTATAGATTATGTAATAAAATTCTACTGTTCGCGATCAAAATTTCACTATTCGGGGGTGTTGAAATTTTGGGGGTTATTAAAATAATGATACTTAAAGAAGTGATTTTTATGTCATTATCCTAGATTAAGTACAAGGTCATCACCTGACATGACCCGGTCATCCTATCAACACAGATGTTGGTTCTGATAATTTTAGCTACTGTACATAATTAGTCCCTGGATCATTAGTATTCTATATTTAAAGCTACAATAAAATTAAATCACTTAGTCTAGTGATTAATTTGTACTACTTAAATAGGTGATTATTAAAGAAAGACAACTCTTACTTCCAACCTTTATGGACATAATGTTACTTGAATCACATCTTCGCTAGCCAAGGGTTACGATCCACTTCCCTCCTCTTCACCCTTGGCAGATTAAGCCAACATTTGTGATAACAATGTTGCGCCATCTATCGGTAGATTAAAGTCACGCCCATTCCGAAATACATTATTCTTGACCAATGGTAGCACTTGAACTCTTCAATTTGGAGGTAAAAACACGGTAGCATCTAGATTCTACACACTTGGTAAGCAGGAAACGAAAATATACGTTGAAATTCATGCAAGAAACATACACAGGAATTTATATTAGTTGATTAAAAACATTCAAATTGTCACTAAATATAGTCGTATGTTTAGGGATGTAAAGACTTGTTGCACAATAAGCACATGGCAATTGTTTACATACACTTTCTACATTTACATGTAATCATGTTATAGGCGCTTTTTGATTGGATGCAACCAATGAAAATCATTACCTTGTGTCTCGGAAATTCTATCTCAATCTGCCAAGGGTGAAGAGGAGGAAAGTGGATCGCGTAACCCTTGGCTAGCGAAGATGCTTGAATCAGTGATTTAGAAAATCACTCATTTAAGTAAGTCCCCTGACTGTTACAATTTGAGTAAATAATCCATAGGAAATTGGATTTGTAGTAAAAAAAGACGGCTCACAATTCTTTTTCTTGAATATTTATTTGGAAAGGCAATAAAATATTTTAGGGTCAGCTGGGAGGCAGGAAACAAGCATATATTTTTTTAGGTCTTAAACATGTTAAATTGAACGATCTTGGATTCAATGAGTATTTATTTTTCTACTGTTATGAAGACTCCATCATTTAATATTCAGTTAAAAAAAATATATCCCTTGGTAATTTTTCAATGACACTTGTTACAAAATGAATTTGGTGGAAATTTTTAACTTTACAGGCATACATGTAATAATTAGGAATTACTGCTGAAAATAATTATGCAATATTTTATAACATTTATCATGAAAAAAATAATCTCCCATGAAATCGTAATAAAGTTGTAGTATAAGGACTTTAGACAAAGTCCTCAATAACAGTAGAAAAATCAATATACTAATGTCATGAATGTATCCAAAATCATTAAATATACCACAGGCATACAGGAGATAATTTTTGTTATATTTTGTTATCTTTAGACTTTACTATAGTGCTTCTGCTGCTTTGTTCTAATTTTAGTAACTAACTAATCTATATGTGCTTTTAATGTGCAAACCTGCCACAGGTACATACATTTTTGTAGCTGATCCAAAGGCACTTGTTAATATCAATCGGAAGATCCACTATCAACGTCAATAAACGGTGAATCTGATACAATGTCAATGATAGTGGATCTTCCCATGGATAGAAACAAGTTCCTTTGAGCTTGTCTATGCGATGCAAGTTAGCATGCATATAATGGTATTTACAGAATATGAAACTTTTTGCGTATGAAGCTTAAAGTGCATAAATATGCATAATGCAAATGCACACATGGAAAACAGCTTACATTCGTGAACATGTGCAGTGCAGCAAAACCAAACGACACTTTTTTTTAAACCGGAACTACAAGAGTAAGTGAAAAAATGGACCTGTTCCGGTGAAGATTTGTCGTAGTTTCGGATTTATAGTTGGGATGTTTTAATTTTGGAATCTTTGATTTTTAAATTATTAAATACCTGAACACAAAATTAATGAGAATAATGAACCGTTTTATGTGATGTTCGCGTTAATTTCCATGATAAGTTCCTTTTTTGATCGTATACTGTTATAAACTGAGACAGAATAAATGCAAATTCTGGTATTTCAGTCAAGCCAAATTAGTAATAAAATGAATTGATCGATACGCAGATACAAGAAGAGATTTTAAAAAATATAGATATTATACTATATTTTGTTTAATCTTTTCTTGTACCTGTGGATTGATAGCTAGTCTATCGATACTGATGAAGATATTTCATTCCATGATCATTCAACAAGATATGGGGCGGGTGGATCCAGAATTCTGTTTAAAGGGGGGTAATTCCAGAAAATGGACTGTAAACTGCCGAGCCAATTTTTATGACGATTATATGCTAAAAATTACATATTTCCAATGATCAAAGGGCGGCGTACGTGCGTTCTCTACGCTCATAGAGATTATGATAAATAATACCCATTTGAAAGAATGATACAAAAAAAAAGCAGTTAGAATAGGGACTGGGAGCAAATATTTTAATCAATTTTATTTTTTCAAGTCCCACCATTAAAAAAAGAGAATAAATTCTAGACCCCCCCCCCCCCCCCCTTTTCCAAGGAAATAACGAATTCAGCCTCCCCAACATTTCTCAATACCTTGATTTTTAGGATTACAAAAAATACATGCATGTATAAATTTCTAATTATTACAAAGTTAACATTGTCTCAGAAGGAGATCCAGAGATTCAGCCAATGGAAATTGTTTATCAAAGTATTTCCGGATACAGATCAGGATAAATTTAAAGACCAATCAAGGTGCCATTTGAAGGGCAGATTCATTAAAATGTAATAATTCATAACATAATAAACAAACTCAACAATGAAATATTAAGACAATAATGGTTCATTAGGGTAATAATTGTATTGATTGTACCAAGGATTTGTATATATCTTACTATACAAATCCTTGATTGTACAAAACTTTTAACTGAATCATAAAAATAGAAATGATTGATATTGTGGCTTTTATGTCTAGCAAGCAAACAAACATAAGAAATTCCTGACAAACATTGAAATAACTTTTGATGACAACTGCATGATGACACAATAGATATAGGTATGGCATCTGAATCCAGTGATGCAAACACTTCTGCAGAAAAAAACAGATATTTAAGTTATCGTTTTTGGATGTTTGATGTTTGAATTTACAGATTGTTGCTTAATTTTTGTATATGTGATCTCTCGATTTTTCGATACCCCATCCGAAGAATTGACAAAATGAATATCCCTTTTAGCTTCCCATTGTTTTTAAAAATCCCTCTCTTTATTTCCTCCCAGTCCCCATAGAGGTTACAAATAACCAGTTCCTAATTATAAACTACGACAAAAGAAATTATGACAATTGTCCCATTGTGAACTTTTTATTTCTGTGAAGCAATATACAAGTCTTATTTTGGATATAACATGGCGCCTTAACTTTGAACATGATACATATACTAGTACCACGTGCCATGTCACAATGACGATTTTACATGATACTAGTATTTTGATAAGATATATAACTTGAAAAAGAGAAAAAATGAATGTATATTAAACCCAGGCTCACTGCTCACTCGTTGCAAAATTAGACACGGACCTGCATTTGTCTATTCTGAAAACACAGAAGCTTTATAGATTGGGCCACGACCTCAGGCTAAACATATGATTTTGTAAGTCAGAGTAAATTGTGTCACTTACTAGTTGCAGTAGCTTAAATGGCAGTTGTATAATTTAGAAAAACTGGCTTTTTGTTAACAGGGAACATTAAGTCTATATATCTTCAGGTGTTGGTGGCCAAGCGGTGTTTTTTTTCGAACTTTTTGAATTCTATCTGTTAAATGTGCATATGATTAATAACAGCAATTTGATGACCCAAAAATTCTTAGCTGTATACATTAGGACTTTATATGAATTGTGTTTGGATAGTATATATGTGCACAACTAAATTCAAATGGTAGAGCGAAAATGAGCATTGTTCTTTAACAAAGCACATATTCAACATACTTACGTATAAATCCTTTACAGAGGAATCAACGATACATTGCTCGGGGCCACTTCGACCTTTTTGTGGTAGGGGTGAGCAGTTGAGAAACTGAGAACCCCAACCATTTCATATACATGTATTTTTAATAAGAAAAATGCTTACCCTATCATATATTTTTGACAGAAAATATACCTAATAGCTATCATGCGTACGCTATTTCATGGAGAGGTAAAAAGATTTGACAATTATTTGTAGTTTTAATGAATCTGTAAAACAAAATCGACATCAGAATAGTTACAGATATATATGATTCAATCAGCATCAGCAACCTTGTTATATATGTCATCTTAATTTCTTGACCGTGTCAAACACCATAAAGCTAAGAAAAAAAGTGGCCGATTCCAACGGCTTATCTCTTACACCATAGATATAATAGCCATAGATACTATTATATCTATGCTAACACACAGTTACTGTCTCCCCGGCCAGGAACATATATATTGACTGTTCCCAGCCCCGGCTAATCACAAACACACAGTAACTGTATCCCCCTTCCCCACCCCACCCCCGAGACACAGGGTTAAGAGGGATTATTATTATTATTTCTGGAGTCATGTTGTTTGATCAACTGTTAGATTATGAAAGGATGATACAATTGTAATATTATCTTCCAATAAACTCAAAATTATATATATATATCTATAATTATAACATATAATGACAGCATATTCAACTTAAAGACGACCGTTGATAAACTGGCATTCTGGGAACAAATCTACAAAAAGGAGTTTCATTACATTGATATCCAGAAAACTGTGATGGGCTTATCACAAGCAAGAGAGAATAACATTAAAATAAGTATGAACTCCATGCTGTACATGAACTACAACATGTAAGAGCAGCCAAATATCAGCTAGAAAAGCCATTACAAAAGCTACAATCACCTCCTCACCTCTGATAGAGCTTAAAATCAATCGTCAACCTCCCTATGACAGTTTTGCTGTCTCTGAATATTGAAGATATCATATTCATTTACTAGTATGTGTTTCAAAAACATCGGATATGAAGTGGCCGATTAGATACAATACAAGCATCATTCTGGAAAAGGCGAACACCACAATAAAATTCTTAAAGAGAAATCGGGCTAAATGGTATCAGAAACTCGGATTCCAAAAGAAAGAGCATATGAAGCACTAATTACACTTGTTTGAACAATTGTGGGGTATGCCTGTATGGCGGATATACATCGGATAGGGATAGTTCCGGCCAGCGTAGGGCAGCCAGATACGCTGATAACAGGCACCAAACACCTCAGCTGTCACAGAAATGCTAGAGAAATTAGTGACATGTATATCTTTAACAAAATGGGAGATGCGAAACAATATTAAGAAATAAAGATTAAGGGTAGACAAATGAATACCAATAATCAAACAAAATGCACCAATGGCAGCAAAGAGTTTCTTATCGCAGTCTACACGCACAACACGGTACAAAGTTTCACATGCATTTTATAAATGATGTCTGAAGATATAAGTATTGTGATGAGTTATGCAATTAAAGGGGTAAAATCGAGGAAATTTCAATTGACAGACATATCCTATACACCTGCATATATAACAAGTAACATGTAGGTACAATGAACTGTTTGTGAACAGTTGCAATGACAAGTCATTGGTTCTGAATCAAGCGAAATGTACAGTACAGTTTTGCAGTCTTCAATTTACATTTCTGGATGTGAATGTTTGGTATATTTACATTGAGGAACTTCGCTAACAATGAAAAGTAAAATAGCAAAAATACCGAACTCCAAGGAAAATTCAAAACAGAAAGTCCTTTATCAAATAGCAAAATCAAAAGCTCAAACAAATGAAGCAATTAAGGGCCATCCTTGTACTTTTAAAGACAATTATCCGAACTAAAAAGATACCACCCAGATTAATATTGATTACCCAAGGTTCTGTTTAGAGACTATTATTCAGACTCAAAAGATACCACTGAGATTAGTATTGATTGTCAAAGGTTATGTTTAGAGACTATTATTCAGACTAAAAAGATACTACCCAGATAAGTATTCATTATCCAAGGTTCTGTTTAGAGACTATTATTCAGACAAAAAAGATACGCCAGATTAGTATTGATTGCCCAAGGTTCTGTTTAGAGACTATTATTCAGACTAAATAGAAACTACCTAGATAAGTATTCATTATCCAAGGTTCTGTTTAGAGACTATTATTCTGACAAAAAAAATTACACCAGATTAGTAATTATTGCCCAAGGTTCTGTTTAGAGACTATTACTCATATTAAAACGACCCCCAGCCAGATTGTAACTGATTACCCAAGGCTCTGTTTAGAAAGGCTAACAGTATAACACAATGCAAATTCTTTGTAATTTATTAATTCACTGGGACAAGTAACAAAAATAATAAAAGCATAGCAAAAAAATCATTAAAAATCAGTTGTAATATATCACTTAACTTGCTTAAACCAACAAATATTTAACAAAATAAAAAGTCTACAAAAACAGATATCAAAATCTCATCTGCACTTCATTAAAATTTTAATTATAAAAAAATATCTTGTCATAAATGTCACATCCAATTTTGAAAAATTGATAACACTAAATAAGAGGGTCTGGATGGGGATCTTCTTTTTTGTATAGGCCATTTGTTTCTTCATTCTTTAGCACCTTATTCTTCTCTATTCTTTATTAATCAGCACATTTTTCTCTATTCTATAAACCCAATCAAGACCCTCATAAATGCAGATAGGATGGATGTATATGTGGGTGAATTAATCAGTGTTCTAGATGAATTTTAGGGCAGAGGGGCCCACAACTTTCAAATAAGGGGCACATTAGCACAAGTTTTTGTCAGAAAAGGGACAACAAGATCATGTTTATAAATAAGAAAGAAATAATTGATTAAATTAATGTATTTTTGCCGGGTTTAAGGTATTTATGGTTGTAAAACACTTTTTGCAGTAGTCAAAATTGATTTTTATGCAATAAGAAGTTTATATTTTCCTTCAGAAACCAAAGAAAGAATAGGGTAGAACTATAAGAGCAGAGGGGAGCTGCTCCTCACTAATTGGACTATGATATATAAATGAGCATCCTACTTCAGTTTGTATCCAACCGACATTCTTAGCTGCTATTTCAGTCTACAGCAACTAAATCATAACAAGATACTACATTTTGAAAATATGGAGTCTTTGTCTTTAAAGGGTAAGAGAAAATATATATAGCAGAAAATAAAATTCATGAATACTAAATCTCTAAACATCATTTATTTGAGGGGGAAAATGGTATCTGAGTGCAAGTTTATACCATGGTAACCTATTTTTCTTATGAATTTAAGACAATATGTAGTTGTCCCTTAGTGATTACTAACATGTTTTCTATCTGTGCAATGTCACTAAATATTGTCTCCTTTAAATGCACTTACAAAAGGGAAAAGTCTAGAGAATGGTGTTTTAATTTTATACAATTACACTATTCTAAAAATGGATAATTGTAGCTTAGAACAATCAAAGCATACACTATTGATCAAACTAAATGCAAAAATAAATAAAAAAAACAAAATCTAAATCTAAATAACATTTAAAAAATAATTTTATTAGTAAAAAATAGGAATGTCAACGAGTACTCGAGTACTCGAGTATCGCTCGGTAAATCCAACGAGTACTCGATTAGTAAATCTTTACCGAGTTGACATCCCTAGTAAAAAACTAATGTTTTTTGCTATAATGATTGTCCATTTAATCATTGTATGAAAATGATTATAGTCAATAAACTTTTATCACAGAATTAATTACTGGTCAATGCATGAATAAATAGACCTGATAAATACATGTTAGCCCTTTACTTCATCCTGGTAATGGCAGTTATTGTCAATTTATTAGCTAGATGTATAAAACTGTCACCCATAAGATGGGCTATTTCATATGAATGTCTTGTACCAATGAAAGTATTTACTAAGTCTGAAAATTCATGCAATGACCTAATTGTAAAGCTATGTTTACCGTAGAAAATATATTACATATAATATATAAACAATACAATATTTACAAACAAAATGCATAAAAATGCATAAAAGTTGTCTTTAAAAAATATCACAGATGTAAGCATAAAGTTAAAATGACTGTCACTGCAGTTCATCATCATCTCAAAAATAACTGAATTTACAGTATTCAGAATCTGAAGATTCTGAATACTATAAAATCAGATTCTGAATACTGTAAATTCAGATATTTTTGAGTTCCTTTATTATTGTGATTGTTAGACAATGGACAAACATGTAATACATATTTTTGTGATTTCAATAAATGCTGCATACAAAACAATGCTATAAAATTTTAATAAATGCAAGTTTTTATTTTTGCCACACCTATCATATCACAATTTTTCTCAATAATAAAACATTGAAAAAATTTCTGAATTTGCAGTACAACTAGAGGTTCAATGGGTGGAATGTACTTAACTCACATGGTATCTCTATGACATACATTAATAAAATAATATTTGACAGTACCATGTACATGTAACATTAAATCAATATGAGATTGCTTATCACAAAAAATTTTTTTAGATTCAATTTTTATTTGATGTTTTCCAACTGAGTTTACTAGCAATATGTCAGCTGAGCTAGTAAACTTTAATTTGCAATTATCAAATCATAGAATGATGCTGGCATTCTGATGCATTTGTGAAAAAAGAGACAATTATAAAAAAATAATTTCACCGGAATTTAAATGCAGTTTTCATCAATGATATCAGTGGTTTAATTGCTACATGAAATTTTATCCAATCAAAATTAATGTTACAAATATGTGCATTCGAAAGAGGAACAACAACAAAAATGTAAAAATTGGTTAAAATGCAGTAAGTTTGTTAACATGAATTATGAAAATAAAATTATTGTAAATAAGTAATCATTGTAATTATTAATTGATGAATAAGTATGGATTTTGCACATGGGGAAATGCATATTTTTTGTTTATAACTAATAAAAAAATTGAAAACTATTTTGCTGACTGAAGTTTAAAAATCTTTCTAATGGTACAAAGGAATCCAAATGTGTAACAGACAAAAGGATGTTTTATGTCAATTTGGACAGGTAAAAAATTTAAATTGCATAGAATGTACAACAAAACAACAAAATCAGGGGAAATAACTCACTCCATTTCATACAATTTAGAATAAATGTTTAGATATATTGACAAAAAAATACACATATATTATTTATGTTTAGTTAGCAACACAACATACAAACTTAATGGTTAGTTTCATGGGTTATTTAAGATTCTTGATATGATGTTATGATGTCAAATAAAGCTCTCATTTCAAAATGACTAAACACAAAGGTAGACAGATGTCTTAGTTCACTATGATGGTAAAACATGTCTGACCACATGGGCTGCTTCTACAACTGTTTGTGCTACTGGTCTCTGTACACGGGGATCTGTCACTGGAACATTTAATCTGAAAAAAGTAAAATTTGAAGTTTCTATACACTGACATTTAACAAATAAATTCCTATAAATATTAAAATAAGGAGATGTTGTATGATTGCAAATGAGACAACTATCCACCAGAGTTGAAAGGCATGGATTTTCAACTGAAGGTCACTGTCTAGCATTCAACAATGAGCAAAACCCATAGTATTGTATAGTCAGCTATTAAAGGATCCTACAAACAATTTAAACAAGAAAACTATAGGTGAAATTTTATCGACCTGAGATAACATTAATATTAGTCTCTCTCGTGAAATTTAGGTCATATTGACCTATTTTTGATATTAAACAAGTAAACTTAAGGCAAAATTTTATCAACCTGAGATAACATATAGTATTAGTCTCTCTATCATGAAATAAAGGTCATGTTGACCTATTATTGATATGAACATTATACTAGATATGCTAAACAAATTTGATTATCACCTCATCTTCAACTCACAAACATACGGACATAGACCCCAAGAGTACACACATATGCCCTCTGAATTTCATGAAAGTGTACTTAAAATTATTAAAAATTCATTAAAGGAAATCAGTTTGGACAGAAACAAATAAAAATTTACAATTTTCAGATAGAATTTTTTACATTTGGAATTAATTATCATTTCTGAGTTCAGCTTTTGAATTCCATCATTTAATTATTTAAAAATATACCTTATGTATATATTAAAATCTTATTTAAAATGCAGGATGGCCATTATTTGATAAACACGGCTTTTGTCAATTGTATTCAGCTGGAAAGTTAAAAGTATATAATGACTATTCAAACAAGCATTCTGAGAGTATTGCATGGCAATACATAGTCTGCTACCAGTAATACTGGAACAATATGCTAACTTTATCTATAACTTGTCATGATGCAAACTAAATAACAAATATCAAGTCAATATCTTCAAGCATGACAAAAAAAAGTGTGAAAAACTTATTATTTAAGTGAAGTCCAAGGACCATAGCTCTGCACAATATCATCAGAACGGAAATTCAAACTTGATCTGTAACTTGTCATGATAAAACTATATAAACCAATTATCAAATCCTTATCTTCAAGTGATGAAAAAAGTGAGGAAAACTGATTATTTGAGTGAATTTTCCTTAGTCCAAACACCATAACTCTGCACAAAATCATCAGACTGGAACAAAATTCGAACTTGATCTGTAACTTGTCATGACAAAACTATATACAAATTATCAAATCAATATATTCAAACATGACAAAAAAAAGTGAGGAAAACTGATTATTTGAGTGAAGTCCAAGGACCATAACACAAAATCATCAGACCAGAAGAAAAATTGAACTTGGTCTGTAACTTGTCATGATAAAACTATATACCATTATCAAATCAATATCTTCAAGCATGACGAAAAAAGTGTGGAAAACTGATATGCGGGACTGACAGAGAGACAGACAGACAGACAGACGGAGTGCAAACCTAAAGTCTCCTTCGACTTTGTAGGTAGGGGACTAATAAAATGAATGTGGGAGGGTAGAAAGGGCTTTCCAAAATCCCCCTTCAACCCAATCTGATTAAAATTAAATCCTTTAATTGCTCCCGTTCTGATATGTCGTGCATCAACATATCAGAATGGGAGCAATTAAAGGATTTAATTTTAATTAGATTGACTTCAACCAACATACTTTATTTTGGTAATTTTGCCTACATCAAATGAACATAAAAACATAAATGATCAAAGACCTATGTCCAAAAATAAAACTTACATTCCTACCCTCCCACATTCATTTTAATGGAATAACCCTAATTTATAATGGCAATTTTTACACACTGTACGTTTTGTTGTCTGCTAAGATCAATAGATTCTGCATTTTCTTCTTCATATTTTGTATGTTTTTTTTGTTTATTTTTTGTGTAGTTCAATTGTGTTTTAGGTCCTCTATTTTGGTTTTCACAACTTTTTGTCTCAAGAGTACAAGACAAAATAATCCTCTAAATTGTTTCTACTTACTTGACATTTGTTTTATTGTTAACAATAAACAATGGATTGACTTGGCTGATAATTTCATCATTGACTGAGATTCCATCCAGATACTGTTTCAGTAAGGTTCTTAACTGTTGATTTTCTTGGACAAGACCCATCTTCTCTTTATCTAGAGCTAACTTGTCTAGGAATACTTTGTTGAATCTCTTCCAGAAATTCTCCATTGAAGAATATTCATGCATAATCTGAAAAAATTGAAAGGACAAATTACAAATTTTGTGATTGTTTATTGAGTTATTCCCCTTTTGACATTCTTATTAATTATTAAAAATAAAGAAAAATTTGGTTGATAATACATGTGAGAGTCAAATCTGATAAAGGATTCAATAATTAATACGAAATGAACTAGAAGATAGTTTTGTAAGCCCCACTAGCAACATGTACATAAATAATGTGTGATGCAATTAGGGTTATTCCTCATATATTCACAAATGTGTTTAATTTCAACTAAATTTTTGACCATGACTTTCAATGTAGGGTTTTTTCTTCTGTGTACATGACACACCTTCTATAAGCTGATTACATAAGACTGTCAATCAATTAAAAATAATTATTTACATATTGTAAAACAATTGTACAACTAGCGCTATCGTTCAAGGTATGCACACAACATCTACTTAATGTTAGGAAGAGGTTGATTGCCTTTTCTATATGTATGTACACAGTCAGTCTGAATTTTGAGATAGTTAACATCATAAAAAAAATATATAAATGTTTTATTCAAAGAAATTAAGAATTCATTTAGAATTCTAAACAACATATAAACTTAATACCAATATCAATAAAATTGTTTAAAAGAATATGTAGCATGATTGACAAGTATCCACCAAAGCCCAAATAATGGGGATGTAAGCAATTATAGTTCACCTTATGACCTTCAACAATGGGCAAAACCTATACCACATAGTCATCTACAGTATAATACTAAAAAGGCCCTGACAGGACAAAATTTGAATAACATACAGCACAATTAATTTATGACCATATAATAAATGAAAATACAGATTTTGTAAATATTGAAGAGGAAAGCCTTTACATTACTTTTAAAATCATTATTCAGCCTTCTTTTTATTAAAAGTTTCTTACCTGAGCCAGTGGTTCATATCCTCGTTCTAACATGGCTGTCTGGACATCATCTTGTTCCTCCTGAGTCAAGGAGGAGGCATAGAATGGTAGCACCTTCTCCTCTTCTGTTTCTAACTTACGACACATTTCTGCTAGTTTCAATATAACTGTGACCTGAAAATATAAATCTGACTGAATGACTGCAGGGTTCTCACTAAGACAAGTCCATCAGTCCTGGACTCACAAAAATCTGTCTGGACTCATCATTTTCAAAACTGGAGTCCAAAGATGCATCAAGAATACTGTCATATCATAACATATTACAGCAAAAGTTTTAAAATAATCTAAATTTAAGGTCATTTCCTTGCTCTATCTTGTCATGGAGACTGAAAAAATAAATTATGTAGCATTAAAATTTCTTCTTTCAAGGTTAGACATGCCATGGATAAAAAAAGACTAGTCCCTGGACTTGCCTTCAAAAATCCTTAGTGAGAACCCTACAGAATCATTATTGCATCCATTTATTGACTTGTAGCCCCTTGGTACGCTCTTTCTTCTTTTCTGATTACATATTTATTCACTAACTGCCTCACTGACTGTCTTTTTACATTTTTTCTGTTGGTTGGGGAGGGTGTTTGCTCATTGATGTATGCTCCATATCTCCTTTAATTCCTAGTTATACATTACAGATTGACTTGTAAAACTTAACCCTTTTTGGCCACACTGGGGACATGTCAGCAAACCGTGCTAGGGACACATGTATCCCTCGTTAGAATATGACATAGAAAGTTTTTCAATCAAACTAAAGAATAATTACAAACTTTAACTACCGGCACTTGAATGCTAATTATAACATATATATTCTATTATTCTTCAAATTCAAAAAAATGACAGTACAAAGCATAATGACAGATATGAAGTTAGAAAATGCAGTTTGTTAAAACATTGATTCTTTGCACATAAAGAGTAAAGATAAATACTGCATATGCTATAAAACATTGAAAATGTTACATCAAAGGGTTAAAGTTCAGGTATACACTAGTTAAAGTTGATTGATTAATTGATTGGTGTTTAATGCCACTTTCAACACATTGAGCTATTTCGTGGAAATCAGTTTTTATTGGTGGAGGAAGCCGGAGTGCCTAGAGAGAACCAGGACCTTCGGTAGGAAAACTGACAATCCTAGTCTATAAAGATTGGAGTCAAGTGCAGCTGCCACATGTGGGATCCTAACTCACAACCTCAGTGTTGATTAGTTGAAGTTGAAGGTCTGGTGGTGGTGAATTTCCAGCATAAATCATTTCTAACTGGAAAACCTTGTGTGTATTGTAAAACAATCAATAACAGATTTTTAGAAAAAATGTAATTTTGCACACTCATGGAAAATATTGCTGGCATTACATATTATTTAACATTGTTTTCTACTTCTTACATCCTTTTGTCTTATTCAGCTGATAACATACCTTTTCATTTTGTCTTTTCAATTCTTTCATAGCAGAATTACTTTCTAATGTCATTTTTGTTAGCTTGTCCCTCTCTCGTTCTCGTAACTTATTCATCTGTGCTTTCAAGTCTTGAAAGTGTGCTAACATCTTTTCTCTTTCCTGTAAAATAGGTTTCTTTGTTACCAGTAATATTATTTAACACCCTTTTCTATGAACTTATACAATCATTTTACAATCATGTTCATTGATGCAGAAAAGGTTCAATCTACAGAATGTTTTTTTTTAGTATTGAAAAATTCCATTACAAACTGGAGGTTCAATTGTGCCTTGCCATTTATCACTTGATCAGATCAGATTGACGAACACTATCTATAATAATAAAAGGCTTGTGTAATCTTTACAGAATGAGCTATACCTCAATGAGACATCTCTTTCATCAAATTTTCATTTAATCAACTTCGCCAAAAATTGTTCCAAGGGTAAAAATGACCATTTCATTAAAACCACTCAATGATTATTACAACTATTAATTAATTAATAGAAGTATGTAGTTCCTATGTAATATGTGAATATGTCAAGTCTATATATATATATAAGTAAGAAATGATATAGTAATCAAATTCTTCATATCATAAATGAAAATAGTAAGCATATATACTGTCCAATATAAAAGACATCAGACTTGAATAGTAAAATTTGACTATACTGTACTTTCATTGGTCCACATAATAAAACCAATGAGATTATCTGAATAGTTGCATATATGTTATACACAAAAATGCATGATGAAAAAAAATCAATTTCTACAATATACCTATAAAAATCTAATTGTACAATAGAAATATAAGTACATATGCATTCATTAATAATATTGATGTCCCTATCGTTTATAAAATCCAACACATTTTAAAGGTATAATAGACCTAGACACTTTATATGAAGCTTGAAAAAGATATATGAACAAGACTAATTGAGTATGAAATGAGTTATTCCCCCTTGAACATACATATACATTGTACTTACCTCTTTCAGTTGTTTATTTCTTTCTTCACATTCTTTTGCATTGGCCATCATTTTATTTTTCAATTGTGAAATATTGTCCTAAAAAAAACATTTAAACTTATTCCATTATATTACTGTAGTGACTAAACGATTTTTTACAGTTTGAACCATCAATCTTCTACAGTTTCTGTTTTTTTGTCTTAACTACTGTGGATTCATTATTATTCGTTGGATACCAATTTTCGTGGATTTCGTGGATACAGATGAACCACGAATTCAAATGTTCAACGAACTGCAAATTTTCTATAGGGTTGTAGGCAGATTTTGGCAAAACCACGAAATTAAATATCCACGAAAATGCAGGTTTTTATCAATCCACGAAAATTGGTACCCACGAAAATAAATGAATCCACAGTAAATGGTAAATAAGTCACTTTTCAAAAAATCATTTTGATAGAATATGCTAACTCTTCTGGAGGACATGAGGTCACCCCTGGTTTTTTGGTGGGGTTCTTGTTGCAGAGTCTTTAGTTTTCAATGTTGTGTTTTGTATACCGTTGTTTGTCTTTTTGTATTTTTAGTTTTTTGCCATGACATGGTCATTTTATTTTTTCGATTTATGAGTTCAAATATCCCATCTGTATCTTTCGCCTCTCTTTCACCTTTATTAAGACCTTTGGTAGAGTCATGATCATGGGGAAAATGTCTGAAAAATGTTAAACACTAAAATAATGTTAAGTTTGTTCCCTTTCCCAATTTCATTTTTGCAATAGTCCATTTTACAATAAATGACTATTCCTATTTTTTGATTTTTTTTATAGGGAAACAGCACCAAGATAGGACATACTATATCCCTGCCTTCAAAACCAACAAATTTCCTATAGTACAAAAACCAGCTGCTTTTTTAAATTATCTATTAATAAATGAAAAAAGTCAATTAATTTTTTTTATTTATCAAAATAGTCAGAATTTAAAGATACTGTTGACAAATAATGAAATCTTACTGATAATTTATTGATTCTTCTCATCTGTGAATCTATTTCCTGTGCAGCATGGTCGTCTTTGCGTTTATAATCCTCAAATTCATTCTTCCTACTTTTTGTTGAATTAATATAAGCATCCAGTGCCTGTTCAAACTGTCTCATTAATTCTTTTTGTTTTTCAAACAGGAGGACCTTTAATCCATGTTTCTCTTCTGTATCCTGAAAAAGCATGTACATGATAAATTATTATTTGATGCACAGATCTAGGGGGCAGGGTGCCTGGAGGCCTGGGCCCCCTTTTGTAACAACATATATTATAAATGCAAAGACTTTTTACAAGTATCACTCCAAACATTGGCTTATAACTATTAAAAATCATCGAAGATTAATGGTTCCATCGATAGGTTTGGACTTTAATTTGTTGGATAGTTATAAAATAATTGACATATTTTCTACAGCTCCTTTTATTCATTTTAAAATATAATTTTAAGAGACCTTAATATACCCTTACCCAACTCAAATGAACAAGTGGATAAAAACAGTTTAAACAGGTATCTTAAATTCATTAAAACACGGAGTTCTATTTGTTACCTTAGTAACATTCAACTTATTCATTAAGTAGCTCACCGTATGAAATAATAGTAGTGGATTTATTTTTGGGAACAAATTTTCATGGATTGAGGAAAAATTATATTTTTGTAGATATTTTATTTCATGCATGGTTTTGTTTAAGTCTGAATACAAGCCTTTAAAAAATATGCAGTTCCTTGAACATTCAAATTTGTGGTTGACTTTTACCCAGGAAATCCCCGAAAGTTGGTATCCCACGAATAATAATGAATCCGAAGTATCTGATTTTCATGTGTGTATAAAGTAGAAACTGTATTTGGTCCTTTAAAACATTAATAGTCATTTTATACAGGTACCTTGTTTTTAATTTCATCACATAAACTTTCAAATTCAGCTCGAGCCTCATTTTCACGATCTTGGAAGTTTTGATCCATTGCAAACAGAATGTCAGCTATATCGTTCATTTCAACACCATGCTGTTCTATCATTAAGGCTCTTTCCGTGTCAAATTCTTCCTGGATAAGGGCTAACTCATCCTCATAATATATCTGTAATTTGTTTAACCTTTCTTCTTGTATGTCTATAAAATAAAATATAAAAAATGTTCTAAAAACCCAACTGATATACAATTTCAGAAATCAGTCTTATTTGATGTAAGAAAAAAAAACTAGTTACACGTACATTTAAATTTATTGGAAAACAGAAAATGAGATAACATCACTTTAATCCAAAAAGGGTTTTATAATAAACTAGATATTAAAGTCAAATACATAGTTCCTTTGTTACAACATATATATGATATTGTGAAGAAATTTTTTTTCAATGCATACACAATTGTTTCACTTCCCCAAACCTAATGAAATAAGCATATTTTCATTGAATTTGTTGGAAAATGCAGATGCTAATTATGATGTTATAAATAGAACGCTGATACATGTACATAAATTTTTTAACAAAAGTATATAATTTCCTTACACCTGTCTAGTCTGTCAAAGTTGAAGCTATGATACAATGTGATAACGACCATTGAATCCTAATTTGAAAATTAAGCTAGAAATAGGGGCCATATAATATAGCCTTATAGAACATACTACAAATATGTCTTTCAATTGAGTTAAGCCATTTCAATTGATAATTTTATAGTTTGTCTTTATATGTTGTGATGTTACACTATTTTTTCAGGTTAGGGTGAAGGTTTGTGCCTGTTAAAACGTTTAACCCCGCTGCATTTGTTTGCACCTGTTCTAAGTCAGGAACCTGTTGTTCAGTGGTTGTCGTTTGTTGATGTGGTTCATAAGTGTTTCTCATTTCTCATTTTTATATAGATTAGACCGTTGGTTTTCCCGTTTGAATGGTTTTACACTAGTCATTTTTTGGGCTCTTTATAGCCTGCTGTTTGGTGTGAGCCAAGACTCTGTGTTGAAGACCATACTTTGACCTATAATGGTTTACTTTTACAAATTGTGACTTGGATGGAGAGCTGTCTTATTGGCACTCATACCACATCTTCTTATATCTATCCTTTCATGATAATTACCAAACAAACTATCCACAGCCTGTAGATGGCTACGGAGAGCCATAGCATATTGTTCCTCAGCTTCCTGTAAATCTTTGGCAAGGGACTTGATAGTTGCATCTTTCCTGTCAACGATTCTTTCAAATGTCTGACTGAGAATTTCTATTTCTTTGCGTAGTTCTTTAGATTTAGCCTCTCTCATTATGTTTCTCCATTGATGATTCAGTTTGTTTAGATTGTATTTGGTTGCTCGTTCTTCTTTCGATAGTTTGTCCTGTAATATAGAATGATTTTTATTAATCAATTTTACTGTGAACTAGATGTGTTTTTAATATTGTTTTAGTATTTCTATTTAGGTTAAAACTTACACGACTTATTAAGGTTTAAAGTGTCTGCTATAATATTGCAAGAAGAAATTTTGTCATCAATAATAAAAAAAGATGTGGTGCTTACTTTCAGTACATTTTTTGTATTAGTGTCAATCTGATTAAAATACAGTTCCAGTGTCTGTGCTTTGCATGTTAGTGCAACATGGACATTGGATCTGTATTTTAATCAGTCATTTGAGTTAGAAGACTATATATATAAACCATGTAAAGAATTCCTACAATGAACAATACCCATACTGTATAGTAAGCTACATTGTATAAGGGACTTTGGTATGGCAAAATATGCATTGTATAAGGGACTTTGGTATGGCAAAATATATACATTGTATAAGGGACTTTGGTATTGCAGAATGTGAAACAAATATGACACACAGCAACCAGAGCATTATAGGTAACTTCTTCCCTGTGTTGGTGCTTTGCATGTAAGTGTATCATGGATATGAGATCTGTACTTTAATCAGTCTCTTGAGTCATTGCATATATGTTTTTGTAGTTTGTTGTCATATTGTTAGTGTGTTAGTGCTTTAAACGTTATTTTATCTTATTTGTAATTTCTAGCAAATACCTTTAAGAACTGGGTTAACATATCTTCTTTCTTCTTTTTCATTTCCTCTTCTTGCAGTCTTTTCTGTTCTTCATAGGCCAATCTTTCCTCTTCTGTCATTTTAGACAGCTTTCCACCAGACTTCTTTCCTCCTTTTTTCTTAGGCATCTTGATTTAGTATGAAATAAATCAGTTAATGGAAATCTGTAAAGTAAAATGAAAATACAGGAAATGAATGCAGGCATCATTAAGGTAATATATAAATATTATATAATATAGAAGATGTATGATTGCCGATGAGAAAACAGTAAGCCAGAGACCAAATGATGTAAAAGTCAGCAACTAAAGGGTACTTACTGTATATCCTTCAACAATGATCAATACCCATAACTCATAGCAGACATAGGAGTAAGCCTACATGTTTATCTAAAAGATCTCACTGAGTTTAGAAACATTTAGTTAATTTTTTCTTCATACTGATTTAGTGTTTTCATTAGCAAAATGTTCCATGCATTTCACAATTGACTCAATCTGGTGGCCAATTTTTAATTTTATAAATTTTAATGACAAAATTGATGTGAAAAACTTTTGTCATTCTGAAAATTGATATAATATGAAATTGATGAGTGTTGGCAAAATCACTGCAAACATATAACATGTATAATACTGTATATTACTACAATTTGTTACTGGTAAACAATATGAAATTTTTTTAAAAAGTGGAAGTCTTTAGGATATTCAAAATCTCAGTAGAAGAAAAGAATTTTTGTTTAACTGAAGACATAAAGGTAGTATTGCTTCTTCAGTTTAGGCAGATCTACTTTTGCTCAATCAGTTGGAGCACTGCCTTTAATTATATTAGGGTTCAAATCCTGTTGTTATAATTATTTTTTTCCCCACAAAATTGGTGTTGCCAGCAACTACTACTTGTATGTATGAGTAGTACGTACCAGTAGATTTAGCTGCGGAAATGTAGCTTTTAGGTCCTTTTGGTAATTTTTGACAATTTGCGGACCATATCTATAATGGTCCGCAAAAATCATAAAATATGATAAGGACCCTAAGAGTTACAGTTCCGCAGCTACCATGGCTACAGTAGTAGTTGCTCACATCACCAATATTGTTGAGTGTCTTGCAGTTAATTTGATTAAGCCCTCGGATATGATCATGGGGTCATTAGGGATAATCAAAGGATCATGGAACTGGCAAGTTTGTTTTGGAGTGAAAGACTAGGGGTTGTACAGTAGTGGTTTTGCCAGCTGCAAGGATGTTTGGTACGTTGCACAAAAAAGAAAAGAAAAGTGGAAAATGTTGTATAACAGCTAGTACTAGTAGATATAAAGGTACATGTAGACAAGATTGAGGGTTCAAATCCCACTGGCACTGGTATCATCGATGTATTTTCACAATAATAGAATAATACGATTTGAACAGTATTTTTCCCCTTTTAATGATGCAGATAGTTATTATCTTACACAATTTTCCTCTTCCTTTTCGAACTTTTGAAAACTTAGTTGGAATATCTTAAACTTGTCTGAATAATTAAGATCGACCTTGTGTCAAATACGTTGACGCATCATCTATGTGCATTATTTTGTGGATTATAAAACAATATTTATATGAAATAGTATTGCAATACAATAGACAGTTATGTCAAGAAGCTCTTATGAGCAGAAAGGTAAATAAGTTTAGTTTGTCAACAAACCAGATGGTAATGGTTAAAGACCCGGGTATTGTCACTGGTAACGGAAGTAAACAATCCAAACTAAAAGTTAGAATTAGACCGGACTCGCACATGCTAGGTGTTTTCAACGAGGTCCGCGTTAAAATGAGTGCTGGTTAAGTCGGCCTATATCATTCTCGGACTGTAACAAAATCGGACTATAACAAACTGGGCCTATCCTTATTTATAAAAAGAAATTGAGTGAACTCGGCCTTTGGTTTATAGATTGTGTTTTTAAGTTTTCTACTATTTTTTTTCCTAATTTTTTTACACCTTTATAAATAATAATTTATAAAAAATATATAAAAAAAATCTATAAAATTTTGAGTGCCTACAGTAACTGTAAAGATTTTTTTGTCATTCTTGATCAAGAACCACTAAAGCCAGACTGTGTTCCCTGATAGAACCTGTCAAAACTTTTCAAAATTAAATCAATTTACCTACCAACTTAAAGAACTCTAATTTTTTTTTCTCAAAACGTTTCGATTATTATAGTTTAAATAAAAAATATAAATAATATCTCAAATTAGATTATCTTTTATCATGTTTGTATATATAGTTTTAGGCATGTGCGGATCAAGGATTTAAAAAAGGGAGATTCCTAGCAAGCTAAATTGATGGTCTGGAGTAATGCTTGTTCAAAGTCTATGCATTTATTATATATGAAGTTCCCTGCCGCCCTCCCCTAATTCCGCCTTTGACAGATATATGATAATGTATGCATATACATTACTAACAGTTGATTATTAAACATAGAAGTATATACACTACTTATTTCATTTACTTTAATATTAGATGTTAATAAATCAAATAAAAACTTATCATGTTATACTTTGTCAAATCTATCTTTAATTTATTTTTATATTATGCTTGAAAACTATGATTGTAATCGTTCTGCTCATTTTGGATGCCGTGATTGGCAAACACAGCAATTGTTTTTTTCGGAAACACAAGTATTATTTTATTTCCGATCACCTGAATGGAGATTGATAGAATTTTGGTTGCTTAACATAGAGTGGCAAATATTTCATACATGTTCAGGACGAGAAAAAATAACATTAAATACGAAAGGTATGTCCTGTAACAGAGGCCTTCCGGAATGATTGGCGGGAAAAAAATTCATTGCCGCTGGAAAATGAGGGAATATTGGATGGAGACAGAAATGATGCCTTGCAACAACTAGGCCACCTACGGACCATTCAATGAGTTTATGCAAGCGGGTTCTTAACGTTCAAAGAGCAGAGCATTCTCTTCACACGAGAGATCGACTCTGATCGGACGTTACATGAAAATAAAACTCTGAATTTCGTGCACCTGAAGCGCTTTTTTTCTAGAACAACCTTCATCAGAAACGCTAAAACACAAACGTTTGAAAGCCAGAAATGTATAAATTTCGCTGCCATGTTAGACATGTTAAATTAAGCAAAGTAACATAAAAAAAGGAAACTTTGTGATGCTGGTGAGCACTCAAAGCATTTTTCATAGCATCAAAACCTTTCTTTTATACTTGAGATAATTATTTTTGCATTAGTACCCGACCTTTTCCTCTTTGAAAATGGAGCATCGATGTCGCATTCGCCTTTCCGCTGCTTACATAATTAAGTTAACTATAAAACCCCTTTCGCTGCCATTTTTAGACATGTTAAATTAAGCAAAGTAACATCCAAAAATAATATGCCAGATCTTATTTTGATATTTAGTGTTGAAACAAATGGCACGAAATTAGTTTTTATGTTCTTTGTAAAGCTGACTTTACACTTTTTAGGTAGTATACAATTTAATTTGTCATTTGGTTTCATGCTGCGATTGGTTTCTGTGTAACAGTTATACACACCACATCTTCTTATGTTCAAAACTTCGGGATATACGAAATAAAGTACAAAATGAAGTAAGGATTACTAATTGAAAGTACATTTATGTGTCCAGAAAAAAACAATAAATGAGCTGCGTTTGATAGAAATCGACCTTATGCAAATGAATATCGATACATCTGTTTACCTATTTTTGCGTTGAAAAAATCTCTATACAACGGATACAACTGTTTGAAAATTTAGTTGATATAAGAACCCTACCAAACAGACAAAAATTCATCTTTTATTTCGTATTTGAATGTTCAAAAATCAGTCAAAGTCTTATACAGGTGCATGTAGAAGTGCACTTCCAGAACGTCGATTTCTATCCGACGCAGCTGAAATGTTTAACTCTTGTATAATAGAAGTTTTGCATAAAATCTGATTTAGACGGGAAGAGGTGCGAACAAGTAAGCAAGGATGTAATAATAGCACCCATGCATTGATCACCGTCTTTTTGAATAAACTTGCGATTAAAAAAATAGGTTCATATTCTTCTTTAAAAATCGAAATCTTAAGATGAATCCCATCAGGTGTGGCATAAGGGTTTTTTCTCTGGAACAAACAATTTGTATCAATTTAAAAAAAAACCATTACTTTCAATATCATACAAGAACAAGATTTTTTTTGGAAATCAATATGAATTGTATTTTCCCCCTAATTTTAAATTGAAACGCACTAATTTTTCACTTCCCATCTGAAACAAATGAGTTTTTTAAGATATAAAACATTTTACATGTATTAAGAATAAGTATACGCCCACTAAAGATAAATCGGTTTATATAATGAATACATTGAAATAAAAGGAAAATGTTTACTGCTAACTTTATAAACCTGGTCATATTTTGCAATGATTTGTGTAAAAGGGAGGTTCCAATCACTCTATAAATAACGAGCCATCGAAACGTGACGAGAGATAATTATAAACAATTATTTCATCTCTTCATGACCATCAACGGGTCCTTTGTGGTGTCCATGTGGTCTACGCTGTTTATCTTCAATAATCCATAGCCGGTCAACACTGATGTTGTGAGTTAGAACCCTTCTCGGAGCAAGTGCGTCTGACTTCTATATCTTAATTGACGATAAATTGCAAGTTTTCCTTTCGACAATCGGTGGTTTTCTCCGTCTTCCTCCTCCAATAAAAACTGGCCACCACGATATAGTCAAGAACGTAGAGTTAAACACCAACAATCAATCAATCATCATATGGCCATCATAGGAAGTCTTATCGCTGTAAAGCCAAGATCGATGCCGAACTGAAAAATTGTCCACCTTCATCAGGAACGATCAAACCTCACCATTTGAAACTAGTAAGATAACAAAAATACCGAGCTGCATGGAAATTCAAAACGGAAAGTCCCTTATCAAATAGCAAAATCAAAAGTCAATACATCAAACGTATGGAAAACAACTGTCATATTCATTACTTGGTACAAGGATTTGCTTATGTAGAAAATGGTGGATGAAACCTGGTTTCATAGCTAGCTAAACCTCTTACTTGTATGACAGTCGCATAGAATTCCATTGTATTGACAACACTATGTGAGGAAACCCAAGAGACATAAAAGGTAGAGATGTCATTTGAAAGCCAGGGATGTATAAATACACAGAAACGTTAGGAGGTGAAACATATGACATGAAAAACATAAAAATAGAAGCTCTAAGAATAGAAATATTCACGTAAAGGTATTTTTGACAGAGGGAGTTGGAGTCTTAGTTTCTAAATATTTTCTTCACCTGTCAACAAAGACTTTTAGAAAAATCTGAGCTGATAATACCCTCGGGGACTTTCAGTCCACCAGCAGAGGTATCGACCAATTGCTAGTAAATGAAATAACACTTTATAAATTTTGTGCGTCAAAAGTGTTTTTCCTAAAAAAATTTCATTAGGAACGCTCAAATATAAATATTTGAAAACCAGGGATGTAAAAATTTTTTTTTTAAATTTAGTAGCGTTATGATAAAATGGACCTATATAAAGCCAAATAGATAGTAAATAGATTAATTAGAATCACACAAATAAGTTTGATGTGATCACGTTTCTCCAACATTTTATATTTTTATATACATGTACAGGTAAAGAATTTCTTGTTGAGTTACAGTAAATCCCGCTGAAATGAACTTTTTAATAATACATTAATAATACTAAATGAAAAAAGTCAAAATTATAAAAATATATATGTTTATTGTATTTAAGAGCATTAATATCATACAAACAACAGAATATTTTTTTTTATAAACAATATAAGCACTAATAGAAAAATACTTTAGAAAATCTTGAAACACTCTAAATTGAGGGAAAATTAATAGCATAATTCAACCAAATGAACTATTTAATAAAATAATAATAATACCGAATGAAGGTCAAAATTAGAAAAGTATATATATTTATTGTACCAAAGAGCACTAATATCATACAAAAACAGAATCATTGATAAACAATATAAGCACCAATGAACAATTCATAAACGACATGAATGTTATTATGCATGTACTTTCTAAACATATTGAGTCTTTTAACAAATTGTCAGTACAATACACTTCACACTACTGTCAAATTTCCATGTGGAGGAGGAAGATTGCTTGGTAAGCGTAGTCCTCCTGGACGGTAAGTTCACATTGAAAAAAAGCGTTCTTTCAGTGTTGATAGTCTGCTGTTGATGTTTCTGTATTTCAAAAATCTTGGTCGCTGGATCCCGCCTGCTGTTACTTGAATCTGGTTGGCTTCTGTGTTGGCTTGTGTCTTTTTAAGGAATTCCATCAGGATGTAGATGTTTGGGTGCGCATCGTTGACGTACTTCTTGAGTTTGCTGTTCAATCCATCTAAGTGGTTGTTGATGCGTGGTCCCTCGTTGTTGAAATGTTTCCAGTGTTGGCGGTTGTTTCCTTCTACCCAGTACTCTGTGACAAACTCGGCGAAAGTGTTTGTGTCGATGGTGATCTCTTCGGCGTCTTTTAGTGCTGTTAACCACACATCTTCAACTAGCTCTAGTGGGACAAGGGATAACACTGCTGCACGTCTTACTAGTATTCGTAGGTCTTCTTCTTCTTTGTAAGCGGTGGCGAGTTCAAGATTCTGAGTTTTCCTCCATATGCGTTGAGTTAAGTGTTAATTAAAGCAGCCTCTCAGTGTGATGTTGGCGAATGCTCGTTTGGCGGAATTGAAATAATAATATTATAA